TTCGGCATCTCGGTAAACCTTCATGCAAGACAATAAGCTAACTTATTTATGAGCTTATTGAAAAAATCCCGTTTTTTAGACACGCTAACTTTTGGAAAAGCTATTTTAAGTAGGGTTTCTACAAGGTGTAGAAGATATTTTTCATTTTTTTTCAAAATTTTCAATTATGCTTTTTATGTCTTCTGAATAAAGTTTTAGTTTGGTTTTTTAAATCATTTTATATTGACATACAACCTATCAGCAAATTTTTACCTGATAAAGCTAATTTTTTTAGGTAATTGATCATTAGTTTACCAAATATAGCGTTGATATCCTTTCCTAAATTTTGTATATTCATTTTTGAGTGAATAAAGCTTATATGTATATCAATAATTTATTTAGTTATCTATACTATATTATAAAACATTTGACAAAAACTCTTAAAAACCGTTTTTTATGCATGAAATACTGTTTATTGATGCATATTACTTGAAATTCAAGATTACAAGTAAAATTGTGCATAAGTACAACTTATTAAAGCTTCATGTTTGGATTCGTGTTACTAACTACAGATAAACATAATCAAATAGAAGATAAACATCTCATTTTAAATATAAAAAATCTAAAATATAATTAGAATAATCATTGAGTTCTATTATATTATTAAACCACAAAATTTTTTTAAAAATACACAAAAAGGAGAAATTTTAAATAGTCAGTTTGGTACCAAATAATCTTTTTTCATATTTATATTTTATTCAAGAATAAAAACATTATCGTTTTCTTAAAATTACATAAAACCGTACTATAACATCGATCGAGACAAAAAAAACAAAACATTAAAATGAAGATGTATCTTACTGCATTGTACGAGTATATTTCTAGTACTATTAATAATATAAAGTCAAAAATTAAATTCTTATTTCCAAACTTGTAAAAGTAATTAAGGAAATTTATTGTGCTTTAGTTTTTTATTTTTTTATCATTTAAACAATATAAACTTGTATTTAAACTTCACTAAATAAATAAATAGTAAATATATAACATCTATCATCCCAGATTAGAGATGGCCAAATCTGTCCGGCCTGGCTCTGGGACCGTTGGAGGATCTGGATCAGGACCGGCCCGGGACCGGTAAGGACCGGTTATGGGGACCGAAAACCGGGACCGGTTGAGGTTTTTGGTAATTTCGTGGGACCGGAACCGGTTATGGGACCGACTATGGACCGGTCCGGCCCGAAAATTCAAATAATTTTATAAATAAATATATTTTTATAATGTATTTTTATAAGAAAACGTAATTTTAATTATATTAAAACGTATTTTAAATGTGTATTTGATTGACCCAATTGTAAATTTTATAATGTATTAAAAATATATATCATTAAAAAATCAAAAAAAATCTTATTTTTTTAATGCAAGGACCGGTTGGGACCGGGACCGGCGGCCCATAACCGGTTATGAAGTACTTTGACCGGTCCTATCATTTTCGACCGGGACCGGTAACGCCAAGACCGGTTATGAGAAAGGTGAGGACCGATTATGACCGGTTTTTGGCCATCTCTATCCCAGATAGAGATGGCAAAGAACCAATCTTAGTTCGAGATTTTCATTTTCTGACTGATCCATTGGTAAACGATCCTGATCCAACCCAAAAATACCCAACCCATTCTCCATGTACAAAGCCCGGTCCCTAAAACCGGTCTCGGTTTCCAGGCCGGACCCAAACCAGTCCCCATTTTTTCCCCTAAATATCAATTTTGAACATATAAAAAATTTGTTGGAGATTTTTTTTGACAATATCTTATTAAAATATATTTTAAAATCTCTCATTTGATCATAAAAATATCATCATTGATTAGTTCAAGTCTTTTATTGTAATTTTTTTCCATAAATATAATAAAACTGAAATTAAAGAAAAATGGTTCAAACCAATTTTATAAAAGCATACTTGTGTTATTATTTTTATTTTTTATTAAATAAAAAAAAAAGTGATATTGAGGGTGGTGCAGTTTTATTTGTTACACTACAAACACTATTCGATATTTGAGTTATTTTCATTCATTCTAATTTTACCATAAAGACATCCAATTCTTGTAAAATTACTTTAACACCCTTGGAAATTGATTACGTATTTTATAGGAAAAACTAAAATTTTATTTTATAAATAATTCAGTGGTTGATATTCTCTGGACATTTGAACCACTTCCATTTTCCAATCCAATTTAGACCTCTTTTCCACTAAACCATACTTTCCTTTCTCATTACTTTTAATGTTTATTTAAAAAAATATATATATAAATAATATTTAATCGTTTTCAACCAGATAATATTAAAAGGACATAAAACCAACTTCTTTTACCCTTACGAAACTTTTTACCAAATAAAATTCTCATATCTATACTATATTATAAAGTATTTGATAAAAAACTTTTAAAAACAATTTTTTATGCATGGAAGTATCGTTTATTGATGCATATTACTTGAAATTCAAGATTACAAGTAACTCTGCGTAAGTATAACTTATTAAAACTCAATTTTTAAATTCGTGTAACTAACTGCAGATAAACATCCACTTTAAATATAAAAAATCTAAAATATAATTAAGATAATCATTAAGTTCTAAATTATTATCTTTATAAAAAAATTATATTGTTAAACCAAAAATAAATTACTTTGTTAATAAATCTAAATTAAATTTTATAATAAAAAAAATGAATTAAAGAAGTTACACCAAAAAACGAGAATTATTAAATAGTTAATTTGATACTATTATTGATTTATTTTTTCCAAATTTTTATGCTATCTTCAAATTTATATCTTATTCAAAAATAAAAACATTATCTTTTTCTCAAAACCCTATAAAACTTATTATATCGATAGAGACAAAGAATAAAAACTAAACATTAAAATCGAGATTTATCTCGCTGCATTGCGTGAATACCTTTCTAGTATTATGAAACATTTGACAAAAACTCTTAAAAATCATTATTTATGTATGAAATACATATTGCTACATTCTGTAATTTTAAACAACAAACGTTAACTTTATAATTATTCATATAATTACTTATTATTATCGTAAGGTCTATCAGTAATTTTTTCTTAATTATTTAAATAATAAAAATTTCTTTAATCAATTGTATATGTTAAAAATGTTATGTTTTTTTTTTATTTTGTTATTAGTTTTATTATTGATTAACTTATATCTATACTATATTATAAAACATTTGATAAAAACTCTTAAAAACCATTTTTTATGTATGAAGTATTATTTATTGATACTTATTACTTAAAATTTAAGATTACAAGTAAATTGTATATAAATACAACTTATTAAAGCTCCATATTTGAATTCGTGTAACTAACTACAGATAAACATAATCAAATATTAGATAAACATCTTATTTTAAATATAAAAAATCTAAAATATAATTAAGATAATCATTGAGTTCTAACATAATACTTTAGTTATTATCTTTATAAAAAATATATTATTAAACCTAAATTAAATTTCTTTATTCCTAAATCTAAATTAAATTATAATTAAAAAAATTGAATCAAGGAAATTACACAAAAAACACAAGAACTTTTAAAAAGGTTAATTTGATACTGATATCAATATATATGTTTTCAAAATTTTATAGTATTTTTAAATTTATATTTTATTCAAAAATAAAAACATTATCGTTTGCTCAAAACCACATAAAATCATATTATATCAATAAAGACAAAGTATAAAAATTAAATATTAAAATCGAAATTTGTCTCGCTACATTATACGAGTATACTTCTAGTATTCTTAACATGTGTTGAAAATGGACAATTCAAGGGTGAATGTGTGTTGACCTTTGCAATTTGCTATATATTAACAATCACATGTGGCCATGCACAAGTGCACAAGATACGCGGGCACCGTACATTCTCTTGATTTCATTTGTTTTTTTTTTTTTTTAATTTAAGATTTTTTATCACAAAATAATATTGTCTATAATTCATTATTTTTTTTAAATAAATATAAAAAATTTATTTAATATGTACTTTGATTTAGATTTTTTAATTTATGATTGGATATATAAAATATTTTTAATAAGAAAATTTAGAACACAAAACAGCGAATCAATTTTACTTTATTTTTGTGATTATTTCAGGGATGGATCCATAAATTTTTTCAAACGATGGTACCATTTGAGTATGAGAAAAAACTATAGAGAAATAATTTCAAACGGTGGCACCGTTTGGCTATAAGAAACAAATATGCGGAATTGTTTTTTCAATCGATAGCACAATTTGACTAAGAAAATGACATTAACACAATTCGAACTTCAGTCTGGGGTGAAATAAAAGTCTTGTAAATAAAAATTGTTCTTATTGTAGTTTTAAAATACATATGATGACACACAACATATTAATACGGTTGCATTTTTCTTGAATCTAAATTTTTTTAGTCCTTGATGGAAGAATGATACCGGGACACGTGCCACCGTATGCACCACAACCAATATAGGTCCGTCATCGGATTGTTTGTCTCATAAAGGATGTCATTCTTCTAACCATGCCTCAAAAGTCGATAACTATTCATTACAATTAAATTTCACATCAAAGAAGAGATCAACCCAATTAAATTACACTTTTGGTCCTTATAGTTTACCTAAAATCTAGTTTGTAGTCCCTAATTGTCCATAAAAAAACTGATGTTCCTGATTATACATTTGAAAAGTTAACTTTAGGAACCTTGAGTGTTATGAAATTGAAAAATAAAGCTTCAATAGATGTTTATCCTGTATTTGATTATGTTTATCTACAGTTAGTTACACGAATTTAAAAATGAAGTTTTAATAAGTTATACTTATGCAAAATCACTTGTAATCTTGAATTTTAAGTAATATATGCATCAATAAATAATATTTTATACATAAAAAATAATTTTTTAAAAATTTAATATGTTTTATAATATAGTATAGATTATTTCATCTTATATGTAAATAAAACTATTTATTTTCACTCTTTAAATTTATATATTAACAGAAAATAAAAAATAAAGCAGCAAAAATGGATAACCCAAAAGCCACAGACAAAGTGTCTAATGTCCCTTCTATCCTCAACTTCCTCTCTCTTCTCTCTCTCTTCATTTCTTCATACCTCCTATATCTCCTCCTTGCTTCCTCCTCTCTTTTTACCCCATTTCCCCTTTTAGCCTCCATTGCCCTTTGGAAAATTACCAAACTATCCCTCCCATTCAAATGTTTTCCATCCATATCCTCCACCTCCATTGTCACTTCCCGCACCTGCATCTCCCCGTCCTCCGACCGCCCGCAGTTCACCACTATCCCACACTGCACCACCACCCCAGCGTCGCCGCCCCCGCCCCTCCTCCGGCCCCGGAGGATGGATACGAAACGGACTTGAACTTCGCGGGATAACCAGTGGCGTTGAACGGAGACCGGCTTGTGGGAGGAGAGATTCACGGCCCGTTTGTTAATCGGGTCGATGAGTATCCAGCTTAGTGTCATGTCGTCGATCAGAGCCGTGCATGTATCTTTCCCCTCCGGGTGTGGAATTTGGGTCGGAACCATGTCTTTCGGGTCTAGCAGGTCGATTCTGAACGGAGAGCACCGGAACCAACCGGTAACGGTTTCGGTTTCTTCGGTTTTCGTGAAGATTAGTTTATTCCGGTGGTAAACATCGACAGCTGAGATCAAAGCAGATGGCGGCGATGACATTGACGACGACGACGGACGGTCACGGTCAACGTTTGTAGGGTCGGGCGAAGGTAAAGGGAACGACTGAGAGAAAAACTCTCGAGGTCCATTGGTGTCGTCGGAGAAAGTAGAAATGATTCCGTTCACGAACTCGCCGGAGGTTGACGGCCATGTAGAGTGGCAGACGTCGGACCAGAGATGATGGTTTTTTCCAGACAGGGAGTGTATCGTGGCGGAGGCGCAGCCGGCGGAGGCTAACGTTTGTCCATCAAGCCGAGTCAGGATGTGGGATTCTAGTATATCAGTATGCAGAGAAGAAATCCCGGCGGCGCGTGATGGAGTTGCGGCGGCGATGGACATGTCGATTGTGGTGCTTTCCGGTGACCGATTACGTGTTGAAGGAGCAATGAGTAGGAGGGTTTTGTAGTATGAAGTATAAATAGTTGATTCAGGTAGTAGAAGACGACAATGCGGTTTGAGTTTGAAAAGTGTGGAAGTTGACCGATGACCAAAGGAATAGACAACAATATTAAAATAATCGACTGGGACATAATACAAGTCATTAACAAATATTTTATATTTATTTAAAAATAAAAGTAGTAAATATAATCTAAAACGAAAATATATATCTTGTTTGTTGAGGGGTATAAGCGTCATTGTATGAATAAAAGATGAGGTTAACGAACAAGGGAAATGCGTGAGTGGGTTTAAAGTTTGCGGTGGCGGGACGAAAAGCATAAAAGCAACCCGACAACTTGGTGGAACACATTCCGACCCAAAATTTCAGTCAAATACGCAGAGATTGCACCGCAAGATTTCCTTACTCTACAATTAAAATTGATATAAACCGATAAACGTTTAAAATCTGAATCAATAATTTACTTTTGTAACTAACAAACATATGAATATGTATAATTTATGATTTCACTTCTGTTTACGTTCCCAATATTTCTTTAATTCTTCATTCTTTTCCAGATCAAGTCTTCCATCCTCAATCTCCACCACCGTCCAACGCCCAAATCCACCTCTAAAATCCAACGCCCAAATCCACCTCTAAAATCGAAGCAAAACTCCATTGTGATTTCACTAGGTTTTTTATTTGAACCTCTTTTTTGCACTTTTATTGGCACCTCATTTCTAACTCAACAAATTAAGAATTTACATAAAAGTCCACAATGATATTCTTATAAAAACCTCCTTCTTGTGAGTTTCGTGTATTTTTTCAACATCAATAGTTAGTATAAAGTCAATAAAATATATAAAAAGAACTATGAAATTGTTGTTTCATACAAACTTCATGATAAGAACCAAAGTTTTTGTACAAAAGAGGGCGAGATATTCTTATAAGAATTCTGCATTGGAGATGCTCTTATAAAAGCATCTCTGGTGAAGATTGTTATAACAACCCCCTTTTTGTACTTTTCTTTACCACATCATTTCCACATCGTCAAATTAAGAACCTATATAGAAATTCACACTGATAGTTCTTATAAGAACCCATTTTGTAGGTCCTATGTATTTTTTCCAACATCAATGATAATGTTAAAGTCAATAAAATATATAAAAAACTAACAAAAAGTCATTTCACACCAAGTTCAAGGTCGAACTAAGGTTTTTGTACAAGAACCCGAGAGATGAGATTTTTATAAAAACTATCTCCAATGGTGATTCTTCTAAAAAACTACGTTTTTTGTTTACAAAAACCTTGCATTCGAGATGCTCTAAGTAAATTACTACTTTATCCTTATTTAATATTTCTCTCTTCACAACTCTTATATATATATATATATATATATATATATTATATTAGCGGCATATTTTAAAATTTTAGTTATATATTCTTGAATCTAGACACTTATTTTGAGACAAAACATACATAAGAACGTGGACAAATATTTTGAAACGAAGGAAATAATGTTTGCATGGATTAATATAATCAATTTTAACAAAATAAAAGCAAATATCTTCACCCCGAATTCAAATTTTTGAATTATTTTTCGTCATTATTGGCTAAATGTTGACGGTTACAAATAATTCAATTGATTCGAGATCAGTGCATCCTTGTTGGTATTCGTCGTACTTTTGTTTACGTCTCAATATCTTCCATCAACCTAAGATCATGAAATCATTCTCTTCATTAATCCAACCAAACATATCTAACAACTCAAATCATCGATTTGTTTTTTGTCTTCGTCTTTCTTTGTCATAACAAACATTATGTTTCAATATCGTTAGTGATTTGTTTCGACCGATTAGTCTAGTAGTTAGTTGTATCGATCAAATATACATTGTGAATGTTTTATTATCATTACGTAAATATTTTGTCTTGGTCAATTTTATAATTTATGTATTGCTAGTTTACTGTTTTAAATATAATTATTAGAGCTGATCATTTGCGGGATTGTGCAGGGCTTGGATCGGGATTAACCTATTTTTTTTGTCATATGGACCTAAATATGGTAAACCCAAGATTGTTTTTACGGACTTGAAAACTTACTCATACTAGTCCTATAAACGGCCGGGTTCGCCACGGACTAACAAGCTTAATTTTTTTTTTTTTTTTTATGAAAACAAAACTTATATAAAATCACAAGTTATGTAAAATAATTCAAAATACGTAACAATTTTTCCAACATAAAATTAGAAGTAAATACATAACAATATACATAATTTAGAAAGATTTTTTTCCCCGCAAAAATATGAAGTATCAATGAAGGAAATGACTAAATGATATAATAAGCCTGTAACACCCTCGAATTTCTCCCCTCCCTTATTTATATTTGTATGTATATGTATTTAGGTGTATTAAATATTGGGGATTTAGTACCTTTTTATTCTATTTGATCCTTTCATGTGGTGGAAATCTTTCCTGATTTTACCTAGTAGTAATTTAGGACTAGGGGTAAAAGTAGGAAAAAGGGGGGGGGGGGGGGGCCCCTTGTGTTTAGACCCATACCTGTGGACCTTCCCTCAAGTCTTAATGCCTAGATAAAAATAACTATTTTAGACGAATTATATCTTGGTCGAAGGAGATGAACTCGGATGATCCCATTAATGAAGAAAATTGGCTTGGGTAGATGGTTTTGATCACTTTAGGTAGAATAACCATTTCTCTAAGTGTTATTAACCGTTGAATCCTAAAAACCTTTCACTAGTAGTTTGAGGTTCCTTATTTGCAAGGGAAATTATTTTTGCTTGAGTTAGGACATACGTGGAGTCTTTTGGTTAAATAAATTCTATTATGCTTATGGCACCTTTTCAAGTGTGCCACTCGAATGTAATAGGCCTAGTGGCACGGTGGACCATTCCATTGTTTTTCTTGCGTGAAGGATGGTGTGAAGTGGAGTTAGGCATTGTGATTATTATGTAAATTCCAAACCACCTTCACGCTCCCGCTCGAAAATAGGCATTGTGATTAGTATGTAATTTTCGAGGTAAAGAGTTTAAGATCGTGACCGACTTCATGACTGGTTAGATTGAGGTCAATGATATTAAACTTATAAGCGATGCTCTCTAACGTCGAATTATGACTTACTTCGTGTTCTGTCATAATTAACGGTAAATCGGGTCTCCCCCGTCATCTTCAGATGTCTTGACTCTCCCACGTATTATTTATGACTCATTTTCTTTATATATATAAATATCGTACGATAGTACGTCATTATTTATATTTATATAGTGCATGTACATCCGTCCTTGAATAAAAAGTCTTATAACTACACCTATCCTTATTGGACTCACTAGGCATAAGCCTAACACTTTTCTTGACTTGGTTGCTTATCAGGTTCCTTTAGCGGCGGGGTATCGAAGGGTTGAGAAGTTGTCTTTGGTAAATGCCATTTTTGTAAACGGTGTACTTATGGGTCCGAGCGTTGCTATTTTGATTAAAATTCGTTTTGTTGGAGACGGTATAAACACCCGTACCTAATCTAGGCATAGTAAGGTTTAGATTATTAGGCTGTTATTTATCGTCTCATTTTCAAGTTGTAAACGCGTTACTTTCCCCCTTTGTTGGGTGATCTATCTATTTTATATCGTTGGGAGATTTTTTTTTTGGAATCTTTGGTTAAGATTATCTTCTTTCTCGTTGATATTTTTTTTTGGGTGTTAGCTTTTTATAAATTTTACAACTTAAGTAGTTGTTTTGTAATTAAATAATACACGTGTTAGTTAAACTCTGAATGTATTTCTTTTAATTCTTTTACGGGTTGATAAAACTTGTGTTTGAACTCAAGGCCAGATGAAGGGGCCGTTTACCAAACACTTACCTGTTGAGTGTTTACCGATAAAATTTAATACTATTATTTACTTACCGGATAAGATTTTAGTCCACCAAAACGACATTGTATGCAACAAAATACCCGGTAAGCGCTTATCGTGATAAGAGTCATCGCCCTTACTTACCGGATAAGACTCTTGTTTCTTGTCTCGCTCTTATCGGGTAAGATTCTTGGTCCTTACGATATTCATCCGGTGAGGTAATGTTACTTGGTAAGCGCTTACCCGGATAAGCGTTTGGTAAACGGCCAATAAGTTTAGACTTTCTAGAAGCTTATGCGAAGTATCCTATCAATAGAAGTCACCATCAAAGGTCCAAGCAGGAGTTGAGTTCTATAGCTATACAGGCGAGCGTACAGCACTATGAGTGCAATGGAAGCTAAATTAGCATTACCAGAACTATTAGAATCGGAGCATAAGCCAACTAATTTACCTAAGCAGGTCTCCTGAGTAAGTGCATGTCCTTTCTTGGGGAACCAACTCTACCATACAATACATATAGCCCACCTCAAATTAGCAATCGACAATGACAACTCATCCATCAAGTAAAAAAAGACAGAGACCATAAAGTAATAGTATCATTTGTTGCTGGTTCTGACCCAACTGACTCTAAATATCCAACAACAGGGGGCTAGTGAGGTGAATAGGTCCAGAGGGACAAGGAAGGAATAGTTTCAACACTCTTTTAGGGCTTCCTTTGTTCACAACCTAAACTTGGGAGGGGTACAGACAATATAAATAAGATACGCAATTTGGTATTTGTGTAACAATTTATGTTATGGGGTTTACATATACTTGTAACTTTTGTTATAATGGAAATCGAGAAGTATTTTTGATTCAAAAGAAAATACTGATTTTGTAAAAATCATATATGGTAAGTTCTCCAAAATCGAAAAATTTCACTCTCTCTCTAACATACTTTTTCTCTTTCATCGAAAAGATAAGATTTTATAAAATCTATTGAAGCAAAAATTCGAAAAATCTTCATTTTAGAAAATACATTAGAAATGGTGTAACTTTGTACCGTTTTCAGGTTTTGGACCGGTCTTTTTTTTGTCCTCCGTTCCAGGATTTTGATCGGGAGTTTGCTAATAGTTACAAAAAGACATCAACTTGGACCCATAATCGTTTAAGACCCACCCGCCAAAAGTGAAACTGGTAAGGATCCATCACCCGACCCAATCATCCGTTTTTGTTCTCTCTATCCTTCACTTTCACCTCTCCAAACACCACAAGCTTTTCCTCGCACCGACGTGGCTCTTCGCCGTTCGCTCCTCCGCCGATCACTACCCCTTTCCTTATCTTCATTACTTCCTCTAACGCTTCGTCATAATCAGCGGTCTCCGGCTAAACATTACTAAATCTGGTTATGATCCATGACCACTTCTCAACCTAACGCTCTCCCCAGTGTTTGTTGCCCCCGTTCTACCTCATTAACGAAGTAAGTACTCCCTTTCTTCCATTTACATAAGTATCTCTTTGATTCGAGCTGTTTATATTTTCTAATTATGTTGAGTAGCAGCTAGTTTAGTGGAAATTCAATGCAATTGAACGGTTTGTAGTCAATGATTTACTGCAGGTTTTTTATGTTAACTTAAAGTCCTTAAGCTTGAATTGTGAATAACTGAATGTCATAGCTATCACATTAGTCGTTGGATGATTGGATCACGGCAATGTTTTAGAGGTAGTTTTTTGTTTGATAATGATTAAGTAAAGCTTAGCCATCGTGAATTAAAAAGACTCACTCAATGGCTAGGGCATTAATTCAATACTGAAGTGCCCTTCATTGGTCGAACCTGCTATTAGGTATATTGACTTAAGCAATTGATTGTGGTATCCTTTGATCCTACCATATGGTCTGGGATATCAGAAAATTCGTTCTCCAAAGTAACATAGTTGATGAGCCAGATGGAGTTAACGGAAGTAAGAAGAACATAATTGAATATCAAACATCCTTTTTGAATCACGACTATTGAGCAATGGTATAAGCAAAATGTCTTACAAAGAGAGTTATTTTTGTAATATTAAAAAGAAGGGAATGCAGCAGGACTTGTACTTGTTAAACCTTTAACTTTCTAACATTGCATACATGATGCAGATCCCCGAATCCATGGATTCTGTGTAAACATTCCACAACCTGTTTTTGTCACAAGAAGGTAGCTGCTGTGGATTATTTACTGTTCAATAAGGCGTATTCAAGGAAGAGATGCCAGATAAGTCTTTGTTTATTAGAAGATGGGACCCTTGGACTTGGTTCCAGATCAATAGAGCCTCAATTCTCTGGCTTGACCCATAGCCAATCTAGAAGGAGGAGACAGTTTTTGCCATTTGCTTCTACTGATGATGGTGTAACAGTTAATGGTAATCCTCAAACAAGTACTAGTGGTGAGGTTGAGGAAATGAGGGTCAAGCTTGACCAGTCATTACAAAATGAAGAATATAATAGTGCACTTATCCAATCATTGCATGATGCTGCAAGGGTATATGAGCTGGCAATTAAAGAGCAGTGCTCTGCATCCAAGTTATCATGGTTCTCAACTGCCTGGCTTGGTATAGACCAAAATGCTTGGGTGAAGGCCTTATCTTATCAGGTTCGTTTCTAACATGCTTGTGACATGTGTCTATCATGTTCTTACTAGAGTCAATTAATATTTGCCTAAAATGAATGTCGGGGGGGGGGGGGGGGTTAATTTGCCACCCTGTGCAGCACCACCACTGTACCTAAGTGAATGTGTGTGTGTGTACCACAGTAGGCATATTTATGTGTTTTCAGATCTGCACATGATACTTATATCAGTCTTACGCTCTTATGATGGCTCTCTTTTTCCTATGAAATGAATTGATGTCAATGAAGTTTTGAGTTTATTGATTTTACGCATAGGTTTCTAGCTGAATAAGTAGAACATTAGAAATGGATCATTCAAAGAAAATAAGCTTATGTCTGTATTATACTGCATATATTCTATATGATTTCTGAAATTAAATACCAAATATTAAGTATGAGAGGATCGTCTACGTATGTTTCATCCAAATTCTGAATCAGAATGGGCCTAGGATTTTTCTTATGCTATGTAAAAAGTGTAGACACTGTTTTAAATCCCATCAACGATGATACGTAATGAATGGTTATATGGATATGAAAGGGAAACTTGAATGCTACAGCTCAGTTGTCTGTTGTTGTTATTTCAGATTGCTCAACCTATTGCTTATCAACGTCTGCTTAAAGAGCCACTTTTACCTTTGCTTGTGAAAATCTTAAACAGCTTCTTGGCACCATTATTGTAACTGTTAGCTGCATTTCACTCCTTTTTGTCCTTTTACCGCTCTTTTCAGTGTGTGCCTCAGATATATGTCTTCTTGTTTTTAAAGAAAATTCACTTCAGCGTTACAAAATATCTTTTTTGGTTAGAAAGAAATTATTGGGGAATTATATTTGTATTGATTTAAAGATGGGACTTCGGTAACTTCTGTATGGTGAACCAAAATTAGTGTTAGAACTTAGTATTCTAGTTCAATGAAGATGGGTCCTAGGATCTGAATGTCTCAGAGATAAGGTAAAATCACTCCATAAAATGCACTTCCAACACCAAATATAAATGCGGTCTAGATGTAATCTCTAATCAGGTCTAGCCACTTTTAGTCTAATTGGCTCTGGCCAAATATACTAGTGGTGGATTTCAAGATATGACGGTTGCTCTACGAGATGAAATGATATTTTGATAGGCAAGAATAAGGTTATTGTTGCTCCTCTGGAGATGCAGCAAAGATCCAGGGAAGTACCACCGTCCACAAATATCAATTGCTAGCAAATGGTTTCTTTAACCGGGTTATTTAAATCTGGTGGCTCATAAGTATACTAGGCATGTAACCAATGGTTCGACAATGCAAGAATTAAACAAATATCCAACTAGTTGTGGATTTCTCACAGTGAAGCTAGGAAGTGATCTCAAAGAGGTCTTAAAAAATAACAACAGTACACTAGAATTATGATCTTTCAGTATTTGGAAGGCCCCAACCAAATTAATCAGCATTTATCTTACTGAGAATAGTTATGATGAACATCAAAATTGGACCTGACAGTTGCAGGTAACTTCTGGGAAGTTGGCTTGTTATATTGACCTCACCAATAACTTCCATGTCTGTGTTTTGGGGCTTCTGAGTGTGGGGAGAACATGCCTATGTGTTTTTAAAAGTATTTGGACCTGTCAACTTTCATCACCTGGGGTTAATTTGGATTGTATAACCAATTAGACCTGGGGTTGAAATTCTTATCTACAAAGACTTCCCTTCCAAACCCTAGGAGCTGTAGTGCAGGGTGACCCTTTAATGTTGCTTTTATAATAAAAATATTTTACATGCTTTACATAGGATTTCACCATTTCTGGAACTGTATGGGTTTGTGCCATATGATTGAAAAATTTAAAATTGTGGTTAGCAAGTTCCATAGAAATCTACCATGTATCTGAAAAGATAGTGATGGTTACTAAATCCATATCCACGAAGAGATGAGATCCTGCTTTGTCTTCCTAAAATGGAGAAAATTTCTATTAGAATTTGCATGACATTCAAATATCTTGTAAATTCGCAATTATGATCTTTTGACTATGGTGCTTGGTGCTGATATTCCCCAGGAATTCTGGTTAATTAGATACCCATGGGCTTTTTCAACTTATGACATAAAGCTAATAACTTCTAATAACTTCTAATAACTTCAGGCCTCAGTGTATTCGTTATTATTAGCAGCATGTGAGATTTCATCTCGTGGAGATAGAAGAGACCGAGACATCAATGTTTTTGTGCAGCGGAGGTAAGGATATTGAGTTGGATTTTCTATTACTTCATTAGACATCTCCAGTCTGCATGAGGAAAGAAAATATGCAATTATTTTTATTTTGTTACATAGACACTCAAGAAAGATGTCTGTGTGGAAATCTGTTTCATTTTATGCCCAATTGAACACTTTCGGTTTTTGATTATCCTCAAAGGAGAAGACATCATATCATAGTTGCTATCATCGTCGCCAAAGCTCTCGAAATACAGAGGCAGATGGGAATACACTTTAAAGTATTTCGTCAATGAATATCTCAGTTTGATGAAATTGTGTTTTGGCATTTTGACTTGGGTTGGTTTTGTGTTGGGTTCATTATAAGCTCCAACTAAATTTAACTAAAACTAATGATCAGCTTGAGTGGCATTGATAAGCCAACTATGGCCCTTCAGCCTGGGATGAGATTTTGTTGTTGGGAACGATGATGCAAGTGATCTGTTGAAATATGTTATGGCGAATTTCCATTTATCTTCTCTTTTTCCCTCTTCTTTTTTCAGTATGTTAATCGTATTCCAAAAGACATTCCCTGATTCGTTTAGGAGAAAATACTCGGAAATTGTGTGTTGTGTTTTTGTTTTTCTGTTTACCTTTAGTATTTCTAAGCTTTGCTGATTATAAAGGTAGCATTTCATTATCAGACATGCTTTTCGTATTTAATCTAATAATAGCTTTTATGCAGTTTGTCACGGCATTCTGCTCCCTTGGAAAGTGTAATCCGGGATGCACTATCAGACAAGCAGCCAGAACTTTATGACTGGTTTTTGTCTGAGCAAGTGCCGTCTGTAGTGTCCAGTTTCGTCAATTATTTTGAGAAGGATCAACGATTTGCTGCTGCTACTGGGGTGTAAGTAGCTATCTTATAGAGGCAGCGGATTTTTTGTTACTACATCCTGCTAATTTATTCTTTTTGTCCAGTCTCAGAAAAGGAACATCCTTGAGTTCAGGGGATTCAAGTGACAGATCTTTGCTCCTATTTGCCTTGAGTTGCATTGCTGCAATAACCAAACTAGGCCCTACAAAAGTTGCTTGCACACAATTTTACTCTGTTCTTCCTGAGATAACTGGTAGACTGATGGACATGCTGGTTGAATTTGTTCCCATATGTAAAGCTTATAGTTCCATAAAAGAGATTGGCCTACGCAGAGAATTTCTGGTCCATTTTGGACCTCGAGCCGCAGCATGTAGAGTGAAAGATGATCAAGGCACCGAGGAGGTCCTATTTTGGGTGAGTCTTGTACAGAAGCAGCTACAGCGGGCTATTGATAGAGAAAGGATATGGTCAAGATTGACGACCTGTGAAAGCATTGAGGTAAAATATTGAGGTTCTCAACACCTGGTAGAGATATAGAAGTATATATATTGCTTCAGACCCGTATATGCAGCAAAACAGTTCCAATCTATTTGTAGATACTGCTAATTTCTGCCTGCCTACTTCATTATGACTTTGGATAAACCAGAGTGACTGGAGCTGAAATGTTACATCACCATTTATAGCTGGAGATAAGGTTTAATTTCGATATATACAAGCTGAGGTCAATATAGGATGTGGCGAATAACATTTTTCCTTGAAATTGAACTTCTTTAGATTGGAGTTTTAACGAGGACAAGAGTGTGTACATGAGGAACAACCTCTTGTGCTTTAATACCTGCTACGTTAGTCATGTTGCAGTAGTTTAAGTTAATTCCTGTGCATGCAGGTTTTGGATAAGGATCTGGCCATTTTTGGATTCTTCATCGCTTTGGGAAGGAGGACTCAGTTATTCCTATCTGCGAATAACTTTGAGGCAGTACCTAAACCCATTGAAGGGTTGATCAGGTAAAGTTTTCGGATGAGGGTTGCTTCTATATTGATCAGCATTCTCATGTCAACTTTGCATTTGATCTGAATCTGATTATTTCTCTCTTCAAAGCAGGTATCTTATTGGTGGCAGTGTGCTATACTATCCCCAGCTTTCATCAATAAGCTCTTACCAACTGTATGTTGAGGTTAGCATATTTGGATTGATGTATCATGTACAGATGGATCTGCAAATTCTGATAGGGGCCAATATTTAACAGGTTGTATGTGAAGAGTTGGATTGGCTTCCATTCTATCCAGGTGATATTGACGCTCAGAAAGGCTCACATGGTCATAGAAGTAAACAAGGTCCTCCAAATGAGGATGCTGTTCCTCTTGTTTTAGATGTTTGTTCACACTGGATTCAGAGCTTTATCAAATATAGTAAATGGCTTGAGAACCCTTCTAATGTCAAGGCTGCAAGATTCCTTTCTAGAGGGTGTGCCATCTGTTCATTTTTGCTTTTCTTTACAGATTTCAAATAGAATTTGGCTCTTTAATTAGGTGATCAAAGTTGAATTTTTCTTATTTCAGGCACAACATCTTACAGGAGTCTATGGAAGAATTAGGCATACCCAAGTAAGTAGAATGCTACATGACCAACCTCTGGTTCTGTCTCTGTACATAATTACATTTTCGGTGATGAGTGTTAACTCGTACACTTGGTTAGTCTACAAGGCAGCAAATCTATGTCTTTACGTATAAGACATTTTGTGCACGGAGGTTTACCAGAGTCAAATTCGTTAGCTAAGTCACACGAATCAATTAGGTGGTAGCTACAAGGTAGGCCATTATTCAAGATATAGAACTGTGGAAACTAGGAGAAATATGTAGTACACACATATTTTTATACTGCCTTACAACAACAAAGAGCCTACAAGGTAGGCCTTTATTCAAGCATTCCTATCTAAAACTAACACCTTCCACGTCTTTAAAGACACATATACATGGAAAGCCAACTCCTGATGGTCCAAGTAGTCAAGTATGATGCTCCAATATGTGTAGAACCTACCAGTAAGCGCACCGCGGTTTGCAAACTTGGTTTTTCCTTATCTCAGTTTCTTGCTACTTCTGCAAAATGCATCTTCTCATTGAGTGATATGTTTAAATTTAGTAAAGATCCATCACTTGTAGAATATGGAAATGTTACTGCAGGAAGCTGATGATTGAAAGCAGTAACACAGATGTTTTTGAGATTACTCGTTCAGGAAGTTATTCTCCATTGAAAAAAGAACTAGATTCTTTTGACAAGGTATCTTCATCTTTCACAAAGTTGAGTTATTTTTAGTTTTCAAATTCTTTGGCTTCGGTGTGATTATCTATGCTTGGCCTGCACTTCAAATTGTTTGGTCATCCATGAATTTGGTGTGTCATAGAGTTCTAGGGTTTCCCCTTATTCTCATTTAAACTGGAGACTCAGTCCCGAAAAATATCACATTATCTTCTAGGAGTTCTTTAGGCCGCATGCGATTACTTTGTTTGCTTCTGATCTCTATCTTCCTTCTGAATTCTATTTTGCATGATGCTTAGTCAAACAATCAGTTAACTATTGGGCATTTCTTGTTCTAGTCTTTTGGAGATGGAAAATTTTATGTACGGTTACAATAACAATATGACTTAAATTTCGTCTAGGCCCTGGAAAGTGTTGATGGAGCCCTTGTTAGGCTTGAGGAATTACTTCAAGAGTTACATGTGTCCAGCTCAAGTTCTGGAAAGGAGCATCTAAAAGCTGCTTGTTCTGACCTCGAGAAGATTAGGAAACTTAAAAAAGAGGCTGAATTTCTTGAGGCGTCTTTTAGAGCCAAAGCGGATTCCCTTCAGCAGGTATCTGTATGTATCTAAATAGAGACAATCTACCTCATAATAATATTTCCTTGTGATGTAAAACTAGACTGGGAAAAATGAAAATACTAAACTCACATCTTTACAGCTTCTTGGTTAAACGACTTCTACAGAATTAGCTTGACTTGCTGAAAATCTGTATATCTGCTTTTGGTTATTACAATGGATAATTGTCATCATGGTATATGCAAATGTTCCATATATGCTAAAACAATTGCTCAACTAAGGAGGAGATTCTTTGTCACCACAGGATTTAATACCAAGTTAAATTATTTCCCTGTGAAATATTGATCAGTAACTCTTACTGCCTAAAAAAACATACTATTGATGTGTCATTATGTTGTAAGATCAAGAATATGTATACTTCATTGGTTATTCCGCAATGATGTACCAACTTAGCATAGTTTCGTTTCTTCGAGCTGCATTATTGATGCCAACTACAAGATACAATTGGTTGAACTACTACTGCTTTAGTTTGATGGTTTAGAATTGGGTAAAATTGATGACCTACACCGGTTAATATTAATAATTATCTGAAGTAAAGAGGAAGAGGAAAAGAGAAAAGCATTCACATGCATAGTTCGATGTTCATTTCTTTGAGATGTGTGCAAACAGGTGAAACATCACACATGATGTTGTCTGTGCTGATTGTTACTCTTGCTTTATTCTCTTATATTTTTCGTTACACGTATGACATAAAACAAATCTAACAAACCAACCTAGTATATCCCACTCGAAAGTAGGGTGCAGGGTGGGATGCATGTAGACAGGTCCTCTATAGTAGAACGCCTGTTTCCGTGAAGACTCCTGCTCGTGCAAGAGAGTGAGCAAAAAGGGAAGAGGAACAAAGACTAGCAAATAATAAGCACAGGAGTTAGAAATAGTAAGGCATAGGTACATTAAACATAGAATAATAAGGCAAGACACACATAGAGAAGGGAAGGTAAAGCAAAACACACATCCCTCTATCCCTCTCCCCCGAACTTGACTTGCTTCTAACTGTTTGGGGATATTTTATTAGAAACAATAATCACGATCCTTTCAATTTTTTGTGCCAAATACAAAGCTAAACTAATTGCTGGAAGAAAACTCTATGGTCTCTTCAGTCATGAGGACATTCTCTTAAGAACACACCTGCTCTTTGTACATTATTATGTTCATGGATACGACATTTCTTTCTCTTTTGGATCTTTCTCTGCAAAAGTCAGATCCAGCACTTGCATGTTACATTCTAGTGTAAAAGTTGATATCGTGGTCATACTATCCAAAATAAAAGATATTAGTATATCCTATATTTCTTACCACATACCCTATGATTAAAACCATGGATGCAAACTTTTTATGTATGTGACTTTACATCTTGTTTGTATCTAGGGAGATGATGATGGTCGTCCCAAGTCTTCTGATAGGAACAAGAGGCAATCTGTTAGAGGCAAGAATGACATGGATGTATCCAGCAGGTATAATCCTTCACTGAATCACTTTAAGCACGTATCATAAGATTAGCGTTTTGTATTAATGTTTTAGCCTGTGCACACCTTATTTGCTTTATTTTTATATTTTTCTTCTTTCTCATTTGTTCTATAGTAAACCTGATGGCTTATGGAACTTTCTGGTACCCCGTGCGACTCCAACAACCGACCTCCAATCAGAAACTGCCTATGGAAGTGTATGCCTCAGAATTTTCAATTTTTGATGATCTCTACTTTATTTTATGTACATATATAAGGTGTATATGTGTTGTGTAGGTCAATTCTTCAACTTATATTGTAGTTTTCTGAGTCCAGATTTTGTGAAGAAAGCTTAGGAGCTTCATGAATAGTGCATGGAAAGGCCAGTCTGTTTGGACCACTGATGATAAAGTGCCTATATGGTCTATAATACCTGTTAGAAACGCCACCTTATCCATGTGACATCAACCCACTGAACATATGATGTGTAGCTAATTGACACCTCCGACCTCAGTTCATGTGTTTTTAAGCTTCATAACAGGCAATTGAATCCCCACCCTTGTCTATAAATTCTGATGGTAATAGAGCATGGAATAAAGGCAAGAAACCTACATGAATAGCTAGAGCCCGCATCTCAGGTTCATATGCAGGCACACCTTATAAGATGAGTCATTGTGGAAGCTCACTGATTTTGATAGTAACTTATCATGATGCAATTCCATCGAAACAAGTGTGCATCTATGTTTGAAGTTCTTTAGAGAAACTGCTCGTCTGTTCTGCTTTTGGTCAGAGTAATCAAGTTTGTACAAGCCTGAATATGTTATGTTTTATAATATACAATGTCCCTAGTAGTTGAAAGTTGGAATTAATCTTTTTTTGCAGGAAGATACAGGTGTACTGGAATCAAATGAAATCCAGCGGTTTGAATTATTAAGAAATGAGCTGATAGAACTTGAACGGCGAGTTGAAAGAAGTGCGAAACAGTCTGAGAATGAAGAGGTTTTCTTTTTATCTAAATTCTATTTAGCAATTTAGGGAAGTACTGGGCTTGTTTGGTTTGGTTACATATCCTATTTCTAGTGCATGACTTCCCCCCTACACACACAAAAAAAAAAAAAAAACAAACAAACAAACAAGTAAAAGAAGAAGAAAAGAATTCGTAGCTCCTCAATTGCTTCAAACATGGTCCAAGGAAAGAAAGGCCTTTTGTATAATGTGAATCATATAATGGATCACTGCAAAGAAATTGATATGATATGATATGTTATCTTTAACATAAGGATTAAGGGTAGTAATGGGGTTTAGGAGTTCCACAGGGTCTTGTTCATTTTGCATGTGTCCTTTTTTTTTTCTGTTCCCTGACAAGTTAGGACATTTTTCTAAGTTAGATTAATTTTAACCCCATACATTCTTCTAATTATAAATTTTTGTCTCCCTTTTATCGTGAATCTGATGATCCTTTCACCCAAAAAGAAAATAGAGAAACACGGGATTAAGAAAATACTGGCATGGTTGATGATGGTCATATTCCTTGTATTTGTGTATAGGAGGATATTAGAATGGCTGATGATCCTGCTGATTATTCTAAAGATGCTGAAGGGGTTCTTGTGGTTAAGGTGCCAGAAAAAGAGAATATCATCGGAAGGTCCATAAGCAAGCTCAAAGGAACTACCACGGTAAACACTTCCCCCTCACTCTAGTAAACTTAGTGTTGTTTTATGCTTTATACATTGGTTCGTTTCTCTGCATATCAATTTTTTTTTTCATCAGAGTACCAAAGTGTGACCGCATATTCACACCATGTGTTTCTTCCTCTTTTAGGTTTGATTACATTTTGCTTTTGTTCAAATGTGATATTCATTGTGTATTGGAAACAAAGTGAAACATCTTTCTAAATAGCAATTAAATAACCAAGAGCTGAATTTGAATGTCCCACATGTGCCTCAGAGGCTAGTCTTGAAGTACTGTTTCAAGAAATCTAGTGGTTGAACATCTATCTCATCCACTCTGCAAACATTTAGTTTTGCAAATGTTTCTTGATTAAAATTCACATTTTTTCGGTCAACCCCGATTGCTGGTGACTGATCATATTAGTTCTATAAGCAGGATGTCTTACAGGGTACTCAACTTCTAGCCATAGATGCTGCTGCAGCTACAGGATTGCTTAGAAGGACCCTTATAGGGGATGAATTGACTGACAAAGAAAAACAAGCTCTTCGAAGAACTTTAACTGACTTGGCATCAGTAATTCCGATCAGCATTCTCATGCTACTACCTGTGAGTTCCACTGTCCTTGGGATAAATGGTCATTGTACTATTGTGGGTCCATTGTAGTTGTCTTGAAAAGATAACTTTTAATCTTCAGTCTCCAAGAAAATCCTATTTTTAACTTGACATGAAGACAGATTTTATGCTCCCAAGTGTCCCTTTTTTGGAGATCCATATATGGCCATCGTGAAATTTAATTATTTCTAGATTATAAAGCTAGCTCCTTTTTCGTGGAACGGAGGGAGTACTCCCTCTGTCCCAAAATAAGTGTCCACAATGAACATGGCACACAGTTTTAAAAGTGTTTAATTATTACGCTTTTTAAGTAACTAAACAACACTTTTACCATTAATAACAGAGAGATTTTCTCCATCACATAATTAAGGGTAGAATAGGAAAATGCACACTTAATTTTGAAAGTGGACACTTGTTTTGGGACGAAATAAAAATAAAAATGTGGACGCTTAATTTGGGACAAAGGGAGTATGATTTAGCAAGTAGATAGCGTTAACAAATTGATCTCTTATAATTTTAGTTTAGTTATGGTATTTGTTATCTAGAAAACAGACACCCCCATTTATGCAGTTGCTAGTAAAATGCAGCTGAACTTAAACAAGAGATCATATTTCGACTTCTAACACCCAATTTACAATTCAAGCCCATGCATCTACCTAATTTGGGACCAAAACTAGTAGCAAAGAAAATAAACCGTTGTATTTCTCTATTTCATTTTCTCTAATGTTGAAGATGCGTCTATAGGTCACTGCAGTTGGGCATGCAGCAATGTTGGCCGCTATTCAGAGATATGTACCGTCGCTGGTGAGTGCTGCATATCTGGTTTGCGTTCCTTTCTGCTGTTTCTTGCATAAAGACCGACAAATTCTTTATTTGTTTTGTGAAGATACCGTCAACTTATGGACCTGAAAGGCTGGATCTTTTGAGGCAGCTTGAGAAAGTGAAGGAAATGGAAACCACAGAGGTGAACCCCACAGGATCTGCCGATTGAGCACAGAAGAAACTTCTAACCATACACAACTGATTAAATTCAACAGGAAGACATATTTCTCATCTTGATCTGGTTCTGAACCCATTGGACATGAGGTGAGCATTGTGTTCATTCCTAGAGTGATGCAACTTCTAGTATCTCTGCATCCCTATTTGAAACTTCACATCTGCAGCAAAAATATACAAAATTGACATATTTGCATCTGTATGCCCGTATCCGCATAAACAAAATCATTTTGAAAAGCATAAAAAATAAAGATCATGGGATTCACAAAACAAACGCATGTATGTATGATTTAAATCACTACAGTTATAAGGTCTTGGTTGATATTTTGAACTTGATATAATACATTAGATTTGTACCTATATAACGACTATGGATGTGGATATTTGCAAATAGAGCCGCAATATCTGAAATCCAAATATGGCATTGGATATCAGATATTAATTGCGGAGTTTTGATAAGATATTACGGATATCATATAGCGTATTTGTGTTTGTTAGGTAAATCTTGTGGAGTGTTGAAGAACTGAACTTTATTTGTTTGCAGTTTCCAGATTGTTGCAGAGTCTGCTTTCTGGTGGTGTGCAATTAACATTTGCTATGTACATGATTTTGTATAAAATGGTACATGTTTCTTGTAATGTAATGTAATAATGGTGGTGCGTAGCTGTTTTCTTTTACTTTTGTGTTTTATCTACTGCATCTTTTACCTCCAAAAATCTCTTCTATGTTATAATCATAGCTTTCAAGTGTTGGAAACACTTAAAAGGCGGAAATTAATAGAAAATGCCATTTTCAACTTTCAATTTCACCAGCTTGCGCATCTGCCATTTCTTAAGGTGACACTTGAGGAGGTACTGATATTTTTGGAGATGTCTGTAGAGAAATGATAAAGAGAAGAATTTGGTCCTTGATTTTCCAGACTAAAAAGTGCCTACCGAGAGTCACTTACCTTACTAGGTGAGTCGAGGACCGAGAATCTTACTCAGTAAGTAAAGGAGACTCTTATCCCGTAAGTATTTATCGGGCAAAAAATAGTTATCAACAATCCATTTTAATAGTTCAAGAATTTTGGTTAGTTTTGCTGCTTTGATCTGTAATATATGTATACAAATAATTGAAACTGTTTATTGGTTTCTTATGATTTTTCTATGAATTTCAATTTATATACATGAAAACTGAAATGCCTTTTTATTTGTCTAAATTCTAGTTTTCAAAATATATATATATATATATATATATATGTATTTTGAAAACTAGAATTTAGACAAATGATAGGTGTTTTATTGAATGCTATTATTAAGGAAATGTGAAGATTGAATTTGAAGGAGTACAAATATTGGGGGCCACAAGTACCTGCTTTTACTATACAATGCATGTTAACTTAACTATACATACATGCATTATGCATATGTATGTATCGAATCATAACAGTTGCCTATTACAACCACCCCATCATCACCCTGGTGGTGGGGTGGTACATACCCCCCTTCCCCTTTCCCTTCTGCTGTTGATCAGGTCCTTTTTCCTTCTCCCATTCTGCTTGATTTCCAATGGTCCAGATCTCCCCCCATCACATCATCTTATGATGTCCCACTCCTACCCTATTAAAACCCATCAATTTTTTTATTTTTTTATTTTAGGAAAGAATCCAGTTTTTTTGAAATGGATTGGTCCTATAAAAGAGAAGAAAATATGCCTGAAAATCTGGGATCTCCCTGGTTTTGTGCCATCCAATCACAAATAATTGAGACTCAAATTCCACACATCTTATCCTTCCTCCTCTTCCTGCTACAATAACAATACCACACAATACGCAATCAGGTCCCACTCATACACAAATTTATTCATTTTTACTCTTTTTCTTGTTTTTATTATTAAAATTTTATTAATAACCAGGGTAATTTAGTCATTTCAGCCTTTTATACATTTATTTTTTTCTTAAAATTTCAAAACATGTCTGTAATAACTATAAAAACAAAGAGCTATGTGTAATTTAACATCAATAAATGAGTTGAAATTAATTATATAATTTAATAAATTTATTATAACTGCGAATTAGTTTTTATTTAAGGGGATTATTGATGTGCTTCACATACCATGGGACATGGAATATACGAATGAACTTAATAACCGGTGTATATGGTGGATTTATGGTACAATAAGTTGCAGGCAACCAATTTAGTTAGGGATCAAGAATGCAGAGATACAAATATGTAGAACAGATTATGTTTTAGTAAGGTCGTATCAAGTAGCAACCAATTTAGTTAGAATCTAACTAGGATGTCTATAAGGATAGGACCACTATTTCCTTCTACATCATGCCAAAAAGAAAGTAGGGACATCATATCTAGTCGACCAACCTTCGAGATATAGATATATATATATATATATATATATATTAATACAAGCATAAAACTACTTCAATGAACGAATTTTGGGTGCTAAGATCGCTGATCATGATGGAAACAAGTTTAGGTTATAACCTACGACCCATTTTATCACTGGTTTTGTTCAAAAAAATGGTTTTAAATGATTTTTTAGATGGTTAGATGAAATTGAGATATGACTACAGCTATGCATTCAAAAATTGATACATGAATACACTCATGTCCACATACATCCAAACCGAGGGGGACAAACATGCCCATACTCTGTATCAGAACTGTAAATATATTTATCTATTATATATATATCTATACGATCTTATAAAGCAAATTTAACAAAAGTCTTAAAGTCTTAAAATATTAAATGACCAAGATATCCTTTATACACTTTTTCACCCATTCCTCTCCTCACATGCACTCACCCCTCACATACACTCACCCTCTCACAACCGATTTTTTTAAAATTATAATTTTAAATTTTACACTTTATACCCCTATAATTAGTTAATTAATTTACTTTACGTCATTTACTTTTAAAACATGTTTAAAAAATACATTTTTATTCTACCAAGTTACACCATTATAATCATCTCTTTAATACTTTCGAAATGAGTCCAATATTGAATAATTTTTGACTTAATTATATTATTATATATTATATATACTGTGAAAAAATATTTTTAATATTTACGATTTATACTTTTATAGTTATATATATATATATATATACTATATATTTTGGGTTTGGGTTGTCCAAATTGCACTATATAATATGTTCTGAATTAATATGCTCTTGAGTTTTTTTGAAATATATATATATATATATATATATATATATATATATAGGAGCGATCAAATGAAAATCACTCCAATTTGTAAAAACCGTAAAAACTACTCTCATCCGTCGTTAATCTTATAAATTTTTTTCATGAAATTGTTAATCTTGTGAAATTGTTTCATATACTACTTTTTTTGATGAAGTTGTTTCATATGTGGTTATGAAATTGTTTCATATACTACTTAATAAAATTTTAATGAATTTGTTTCATGTATTTCTCTAAAATTAAAATAATAAAGATGATAATATCCATGATTAACACCCTCCACAATAAAATGGTTAATCAACCTCTCATAATTACAAAAAAATGAACAAAATAAAAAATTATGATTGATTGAATGTGAGTGGTTTTATTTGAACCCACCCCTATATATATATATATATATATATGCATGTATTAATTTAACCTTAATATGAGTTTCTGGACAAGAAAAAGAGTAAACAGTCGAAATTTCATTCTAAAACTCATATTTTTTGATCTTTTCATGGCTTATGATATGTTAAATTTGTAGTTTTCTTTATTGGTTTTGAGTGTTTATCTTAAAACTTAAGTTTCTTGGTTCTTTACTCTTGGTGTAAATTGAACACATTTGTGGTGTCGTTTAGATATATTGGATTTTAAACTGTCATATAATTTTTTTCATCGATAATCTGTAATTGGAACCATAACTCTTATTTATTCAAATTGTATTAATATGTAAAGACTAAGTGTAACTTATATCATCGTTAAATCTTATCTTATAAAACCATTGGAACTTCAAAATCATTAAAATTCATAGCTCCCGCTGCATTGTGCGGGTACACAACTAGTATATATATATACATATATATATGTATGTATACACGTTCAATTGTATATGTAGAGTGTCCAATTGTATATTTAGAGTGTCATGTTAACTAACTTGAAATAATTATGATATATTTTGATTATTTATTGATAACATTAACATTTGATATTTGATAAGTTTATGGATTCCAAATCTATTTGCATTGGGCAAAACTTATATAGTATATTAAATGATATGATTTATAATATATAGCAAATAATAGTATCTCCAACATATCCTTTAAATTCTTGTTATATATGGTTTATAATATATAACAAATAATATCATTTTTAAAAGGGAGATTTTAAAGATTTTTATTATTCTAGCAACGGTGAAATTCTCTAAATTTCATGAACTTTCTAAAAATGATTACCTATGAAAAAAAAATTATTTTTTAATATTTCCTACCACTTAGAATCATTAAAATTAAATAAATAGCTGAGAGAACTAATATCTTACAGAAAAATATTAAACATTTGAATAATACTATAAGGGTGTTCGCATAATGTAACGAAATATATCTCGATTTCAATGTTTTATTTTATTTTGATCTTTGTCGATGTTATAATACGAATTTATGTGGTTTTGAGCAAACAATAATGTTTTTCTTAAGAAAATATAAATTTGAATACATCAAAAAATTAATATATATATATATATATAAGTTCTTATTTTTTGTGTAATTTTTTAATTTAATTTTTAATTATAATTTAATTTAGGTTTGGTGACGAGGTAATTTATTTTTGTTTAATATATATCTTTTTAATTCAATTTTTTATTATATTTATCTACAGTTAGTTATACGAACTCAAACATAGAGCTTAATAAGTTGTATTCACGCACAATTTACTAGCAATCCTAAATTTTAAGTAATATGCATAAATAAGCAATACTTCATGTATAAAAAATGATTTTTAAGAGTTTTTGTCAAATTGTTTTATAATATAGTATAGATAATTTATATTATAATATTCGAAATAGAAAATATTGAAAATAAATATAAATTTTATTTTTAATTCTTTAAGTATATGTTAGAGATTTTAACACCAAAAATGTTAAAATGTAGCATTTATTATTAATTAAATACATAAAATATATTTGTCTCGGAATAGGAGGCAACAAAATCATCACTTGGCAATTATTATACCAAAAACAGATCGAGTATTCCAACCATATCATTTTCAAAATTTGAGATAATATTCCTATATTTAATTTATTTTAATACTAATTGTATTTTATATATTTAAATATATACTATATATGACATTAAACAAAATACAAAATAAACATAAAAATGTAACTAACCATGTTAAGATGAAAGTCCGAGGAATTGTAACTATACTGGTGATCTGGTCGACCACTCTGGCTCGAGCCATCCGGAGTTGATGGCTCAGAGTTATCCGGGCACTCGAGGTTCACCCCGAATAGCCTCAATCGTCTTGTTGCTACCGCTCCTCTTTGGCAATTATTTACATTTTCATATATCCCTCCTGCATTATTTCATTTTTATAAAAAAGAAAACATTTAATTGAAATATTATTAAAAATATATTCCAAAATAAACGTTCCAACAAATCTTTAAAATGGAGATCACGGGGTTTTTGCTCCAACTAATGAAAATTATTGAATATCTTATTAATACAATTTATACTGTAATCTTCAAAAGGGCAAATTGCATGAAAAAGTAACGTACTTTAACTTGATTCCTATTTTGGGTAACGTACTTTCAAAACTTTCATTTTGGTACCTATTGATAGAGCAAATTGCATGAAAAAGTAACGTACTTTAACTTGATTCCTATTTTGGGTAACGTACTTTCAAAACTTCAATTTTGGTACCTAAGATGTAAAGTTTTAAACATTTAAGTACCCGGGTAACCCAGTGACGACTAATTTTAGACTAAAAAAAGACTAATGGAAAACCCGTAGAAGATTAATAAAGGGTTTTTGTGGTGGCACGTGCTACCGCTTAGTTTTTTTGTTACAGTGTAAAAAGGTATAGGTCGTGAAAAGTGTTATCATACTAATTTGTTGTATGTTACCGTATATATAATTAATTACCTGCATGAGGAGATTCGGGTTGGTATGGAAGAGGAAGGGATGGGTGCGAAGGATAATTAGAGTGCGCATCATGGAACACCGCCGTGCTCCACCCACTAACCTGAGCACCACCAAGCGCAACCGGCTGAGCAGAACGCCGTCTCCACCCTATGAACATTTTTTCACAATCCAAGCCGTCTCGCTCGAACAAAACGACGTCGCCGGCATCCAAACGCTTCTCCTTCACGTAGCGACTCCAACCCTTGGTCAACACGTAGCTTTGACTGCTGTTCCAATACGAGTACCGGAACCGCCATAGCTTCCCTGACTCGTCCTCAAAACTCAACAACAGATCTTTCTGTTGGTCGGCGGCGTCACCACCACCGAGCGGAAAGTATTTCTCGGCGTGTTGTTTGGGAATGACAAGGCGGTTGAGTTTTCCGACGTCGCTGGGAGTCAAGGGTTTTTCAAACATGGGTTGTTTAGCGAAGTGAGGATGATGATGATGATGATCCGGGGTGATGGTTTCGAGGTGGTTATTAACGAAATGATGGTGGTTGAGGTTGAAATCGACGGTGGAAGAGGGTGGTTGATGAGGGGTTTCCATGATATGATATGGTGGTGGTGATTGAGGTAAAGAAGTGATTGAAGGACATTTTTGTAGCATGGGAAATGTACAGTAAAAGAAAGAAAGAGAAATGATGTGTGTTTTTAACGTGGGAATACTGTGTGTGGGCCCCAAACAGTATGCAAGTACAAATGGTGACGAAACCCCAACCTTCCAGTTCCAATCATCTTATTAGAGTGTTATTTTTCTCTATTTTGCACAAAATTCGGTTTTTTTGTTAATAATTCAATAAATTTAGTGGTCATTTACTAAATACTTACTTGAAAAGCGTTTACCGGATAAATTTCTTCATCGGATGAACATAAAAAGGGTCAAGAATCTTACCGGGTAAGAGCAATGAGAAAAATGGAGAATCTTACCCCGGTAAATGAGGATGACGACTCTTACCCAGTAAATCGTTTCATTCGATATATTTTGATATATACTAAAATCTTACACATTAAAATAAATCATAGCGTTGACTCCTATCGGTAAGTGCTTATTGGGTAAGCAATTGGGTAAATGGCCCCTTGGTAAGATTTCAGAACTATTTGACAGTCGTTGAATAGTTCAATGCAAAATGATTAAGTTGTTAGAATGATTAATAGACTCTCATGATATAGTACAAAATAAAATATAATTATTTGGTAATTGTTTACAATGAAATTAGGGTGCTGAATGATTAAGTGACATATTATTCATAGAGTTTTAGAACCACTAAGAGACAAATTATTTTTTGTCAAACAAGATTCACCTCTGAACGCTTCGGAGGATGACTCTTAATGGAATTATTAAGAGCTAAACAAACAACCCCCTACAATTTACTTGGTTTAATATATACGGTTGTTTGATAATAACTTAATGATATAAAAAATAGTTTATTCAGTAAGCTTCTAAAAGAAAATTCTATATAAGAAGCCAATTTTTTTCCCAAACATATCTCTCACAACCGAAAAACACACGCTCATTTGAAAACTCTCTCAACCAAAACTTTATTAATTTATACAAACAAATTAATTTACAGAGACAGATTTATTTATATAGAAGTTAATAAAAAACCAACCAAATAACCTCTTATTACTCTTACTTACTTTATCGAGTAATATTTTCACCATCAAAATGAATTGTTGGCAGGGTCGTCCCATTCTTTTGGAGACCCTATTATACGTGTATTAAAATTATAGATTGTCTAAAACAAGTAATAAACAAAATAAAATATAAAAGCTCATGTCATATTAAAATATTAAAAATTAAAACAAACAAAAATGTTTAAAATAATAAAGTGAGAAGAATATTAAAGAGTCGTTTCTGTTTTTGATCAGAAAATTCTGAAATTAAATAGTTGTTTCTTATTCTGAAAAAAAATTAGACAGATCTTTATTAAGTTGGTTCACAAGTCTCAATAGATGACCCTGATTGTTGGTAAAAAGTCTTTTACCGGGTAAGCGTTAAACAGGTAAAAGTCTTATCCCTCACATACTGAATAAGATTCTCGATCTTATTATACGTCGTACCGAATAGAATTATTGCTAATGTTAAAATATCTGTTGTTTATTAAAATTTATAATTTTAGAAAAATAGGACATGAAGACGAAGGTATGGAAAGGGGAAGATGACTGAAGCAAAGAATCATATAAACAGTAAAACATGTACTCCATCCACCACTATTCCCTTTTTTAACTGGACCAAGCTACAAAGATAATGAAACACATCGTGTGGCCTCTTCAATGTATTTTTATCAACTAGTTTTTTTTATCAAAAATATTAGTTTATCAGCTAACTTTACAGTTAATAACTGATTTGTAAGCTAATGATTCTTTGCAGGTTTGAACGAGTACAAGAGAGATCTGTTGGTTGATTCATTGTCCCTGCATAAAAGATACTCATGTTCAAGTTAAGCTAAAAAATAACAAGTTTGACTATCGTGGGACTCGGATCTGAGCCTTCTGTAAAAAACAAAACATTTACCAGCTTCGTCATTAAAGTCTTGTACTGACGTTTTAGTTACAAAAACTGTATAATGACATCCAACAAAATAATACGATGACATCGTTCATAAACGTAACTTTTTTTTCTTCTTATGATATAATAATAATAGAGCGGCATGTGTCGCTCTATCCTTCTATGTAGGTACATCCCTTTGTTAATAAATTATGTCATCCTTTTTTTAAGTCGATTAAAAATAAAAAAAGATTAAAAAAATAAAAATTTAAAAGGGGCTGGCAGAGCAGCGAGGGGGTGGGCCTTTTGCACCTCCCCAGTCATTGGCTACTTATGACCTGTCGTTATGCCCACTCTCTCATTTCTGTATAACACGTATCAATATCATGTATCTATACTATATTATAAAGCATTTGGTTAAAACTTTTAAAAACTCTTAAACTCTTAAAACTCTTAAACTCTTAAAACTCTTAAACCCGTTCATCCCTAAACAATTTCATCCCTATCCGATTTCATCCCATAATTGAATTCGTGTAACTAACTGCAGATAAACACAATCAAATACAGGATAAACATCTCATTTTAAATATAAAAAATATAAAATATAATTAGAATAATCAT